AAACCCTGGGAATTACTCCCTACACTAGGTTATCATTACCAAGGAAATGGCCCCCTTAAATGACATGCAACCAGAAGAGTGAACAAGAGGCAGCTTGATTGGCGCTCTGAGCCTTCGAAAAGCAGGGTACACTTTATATGCATGGAACATCACGGTTCATGATACATCAAGATGTCACCTTGCATTTTCTCCTCTAGGTTCTTTCGGCGGGCATTCAATTCTGCGCGGATCTGGACAATCCTACTGAACTCGCGATCGCTAATAAGGATTTTGTCCTCGGGATTCTTGCGGAGCTCCTTGACCACTTCCCCCAGCTTCACATTCTCATCAGTAACCTCACCATTTAATTGCCACAGCTGCTCTTTAATCGCTTCCATGGCTGCTGCAGACGGACAAAAGTTGTTAGCATAACATTTGCAAATGTATTGCGTTTGTATGCAGTTATGTATTAGGTAGTGAGATGCTGTGGTATTGTTCTGGAGTGATTCACGAGGTGAGCTGGCTGTACTGCACCCCACGATGATGGCCTCGCTGTCGGTTCGAGTATCTACCCACCAAACCATCACCTGGTCATAATGATCATATGAGGTGAGGACCATCAAAGCACACATACACACACAACACACAAAAAAACACAGCACATACATCTCGTCCGCGGGAGAGAGCTCTTAGGTGGTCATTCCATAGGGCAGCAGGCAGCAGCCCCTGTGGCCAGTGTTGTCAGGCCTGGTCAGATACCTGTACCTTTCACACACACACGTAACACACAACACAGACACGTTCCTCGGGGGTTCTCTGTTCCTTCTGTTGGCCAAAAAAGAGAAAAAGACAAGAACATGACAACAACATAACAAGGACGTACCCCAAGAATGTACCACGTACTACAGAACTAAAAAAGGTTAACAGAGGCCCCACCACGGACATGCATACATAAGACACAATACACAGCACGCGTGAATACACACAAGAGGGGCGGACTAAGTAACTCTGGCCCCGAAGACACCACAATTAATAAGGCACTCTTTTTGAGAGTACCTGAACACCACTGCCAGCATAATTGGAGAATATCACAAGGATGTCGACAACTAGCTCATAACAAACCTCGTCGCCGTACACCACCCCTGCACCCTTATTTCGTTATGGTGCTTTTCGGGGGGGGATTGAACCCCTATGGCAGATGCCCCCTGATCAGAGTCATATGACCGATCAGATGGTGTTACTCGTACAAACCACCAACCACCGCTTCTGCCCTCCTTTGTGCGTTCTCACATCACCCCACGCGGTCAGACGCACACGCAACCACAACCGCACACTAAACCCCCCCCCACACACATGCACACATGCCCTGCTAAACGAACCAGACAGTCGACAGTGGTGTTACCCCGGCCCCCCCCCCAACCCTACACCACTCCCACTCAACCCCTTTCAATCCCCCACCCCGGCAACAAAGATGCGCATAGGGTTATGGGCAGGGTGGGGTTAGCGCCGTACACACAAGGTGGAGAGCACCAGGGGGGGTCGCAAACCTAGCGGGCGGGGGGGGGAACTATCGCTAAGCACCCCAAGCCGACACATGCACATACCTACACACATACACACTCACGGCTCAGTTTTTTTCACAGCGCACGCTGACATACCTACCCCCCTACATACCTACACACACATACACACACACGCCGTGTCACTGGATGAACTGGTCAAACACCTCCCGCACCGCCCCCTGCAGCTCCTTGAACGCAAAGCCCTCCTCCCCAGCCCCCCGGAGAGATGAAAGGGCCGCCTGGAATCGTTCCTCGTCGTAGCTTGGGACCTGGAGTGCCATTGGGGGTATTGGGGAGTATTGGGGGGGGAAGGTCAGGGGGGAGGTCAGGGGGGAATCATATGACATCGTACATGATGCCAAGTAAAGAAAAAGGGGGAAACAAATGCGGAGTGTTTAATGGTGAGGTGAGGCACTTTGAGGAGTGGTGTTGTAAGAGCAGTCACTGAAGCGCACGACTCCACAATTCTACGGCAAGTGGCTACGGCTGGCGATCATGGGCCTCCCGCCCTCCCCTCCTTTTCCCCCTTCCTCCCGCACCTTTCTTCCCCCCTTTTCTCCTACCCCCCTTCTGCCACCCTCTCCCGCCCCGCCTCCTCCTCCCCCGCGCCCCCACCCCGGCCCACCTGCACCCCCAGCAGCACACTGGACTCCCTGTTCCCCGAGTTGCGGTAGTGAAACAAAGTCGCGTTCCACGCGGGCGACACCACGTCCAGGAAGCGCCTCAGAGCCCCGGGACGCTCCGGGAACACCACCTGAAGGATCTTCTCGGCCTCGATACGACCCATGTATGAGCGGGTGCGACCACCGGCCAGGTGGCGCAGGTGGACCTGGGGGGGAGGGGGGGTACATGGTGAGCGGTTGAGTGGTTGTGAGTGGTTGGTGAGTGGTTGAATCTCAACCCGGTGGTGAGTTTCGAATGTCCTTCGTGGTGCCTGTCCAAGGCGCATGGGCAACGGGTTGGCAGATGCCATAGGCTATCCTCTATTGGTTTAGTACGGTATTGTACAGCGCGAGGTGCTGATGTACTGCTTTTCGGTGCAATTCTCGTGACAAACCCTAAGACCCCGCACACATTGACATGTGGTTGCTTTCCTCCATTGCCGTTGCCCTCGTTCCCACCACCGCCACCGTGTGGACGCCGCCAACCTGCACGCATGTATACCTGCCGTACAGGCGCTATCTTCAGCCTGGGGAGCCAGCCGGGGGGGCAGTAATAGCGGCCGCGGCTGTACTGCTCTCATAGCAGTGGCGCTGCTGGTGCTTCGATGTTCGCGGCACGGTGGCCTGGAGGCGCAGCACGGTGGCGGTGGCGGTGGCGGCGGCTTCACACCCTGCACCGCAGATGACGACAACGGCGCTTACAACGTCGACCACCACCTTAAACGTGACCGTGTCGCGGCGTCCTCTCCCGTCGCTGCCACGGCCAGCAGCAGTGTATGACAGTTTGATGGTGACGTAGACTGCTGGGACAGCACAGACGGTGAGGATGGCCGTGCCCATATCCACTTGCTGCAGGAGCCGCGGGATCAGCAGCGCCCTCGGAATGAGGATGGCACACCGCCCTAGTGCCCTAACTGCATTTCCCCCGGTCCCGACCGAACCGTGTGGCATGCAGCCGCATCACCGCTTGGGCACTACAGCACTGGAGGGGGCATTTCTTCACCTTGAAATCGCTGTCGCCCAAAACTCCCCTCCCTCCCTCCCTCCCCCCAAATCCCAATCGACATTTCCCCCCACTGCACTCCCCGCTACACTATGGCACCCCCGATGCCGTACTCTTGGTGGTCAGAGTGGTAGGTTATCGCTGAGAGAGCGAGAGTGAAGAACATGGTGAGAGTGTTGCGGTGTCCTCCATAGTCAAAAACAGAAATAGCCATTGCCTGATTAGGCTCCAATTAGTTAGGCTCCACTGTGTAGAGCGGAGGAAGACTGGACCACATCAGGCGTGAGGGGGCATGAAATGGGCTGCGGTGACAGGGGCGGGTCCAATCCAAAAAGGGGGGTGGGGGTAAGGTGGGGGGAAAGTTGTTTCAGCCGTCAATGTCGGGGCGAAAGTGAAGAGAGCGGAAAGAGCGGCAGTGAGAAAGGGCGGTGTGTTTGGAGAATCTCATGGTGCAATGGGTAGGGGGTGAGTGCAGGAAAAGAGGAGAGGGAGGCTTAGGGATTCTTGTTGTGAGAGGATGGGCTGCTTGCCCGGTGCAATTCATCACAGTGGGTGCCATGTGTGGTGCGGTGAGGGCCTTGTTGAGGGGCCCAGGCGGTTCCCACCGGGGGATGGTGTGGAACACCTTGGAATGGGTAGCAGTTATGTAAGGGTAGTAGTTGCAAGAGCTTTCGCAGAGGTGGGTATGAGATGCGCAGAGAGGTAGATGTGTGCATGCAGCTGTGCCTAGCCGGCATGTGAGACGGGTCATCAGGCCTGTCAGGCGACACGTGTGTGTGTGGTGTTGTGGTGGGGGGTGGGGCGGGCAGCAAGAAGGTGGACTGGCAGGCGGGCAAGCGAGCTTGAGTTCTTCCTCTTGTATTCGCAATGATGAATGTGTTGCTGGGTTTGCTAGCCGACGCTGTTTGCAACACCCGGTGTCTTTGGCTTTTTCGTGTTACAGGAGTACCTAAGCTAGCTACGTGCTGGAGAACGTGTGTGATAATAAAGCTTTCTGTGTGCTGGTGGTTGGTTGGTTGTTATGGCTGCTGAGGTTCGCATCTGTGCTTTTATTTCTCTCCCTCTTCCCCAACCTCGTTTCCCCGCACACATACACACACACCCTGCTATGGCGTGCAAACACAATTAAAAAAAGTCTTCTGACTGGACGTTTTTTGAAGCACTACCTCACCAATTGAGGTTCTGCTTTCGTGACCCAATAGCTGGATCCAAATCTCCTCACTAAAGGAAGTTAGGTGACGGTGGGTCGAGGAGCTTCACTCATATCACTGGGGGTGCTAATAAAGAATGTTGAGCAGTTTCAGGCTTTCTGGAACATGTGGGGGTGTTCCCATATGCATCATGTGTGTATGTATGTATGCATGTTTCAAATCAACTGCGCCGTGAGACGTACAAATTCGAAGAAGTCTGTGTGTCCGTGTGTTTTTTAAATCATATGGGCCATATGTGGATTCGCCTCATGGCTGGCTATTCCATGACTGCCACGAGCAGCATCACCTCTCACCCAACCCCCCTCTCTACCCCCCTCTACTCTCATTCCAGCACACCCCCTCGCCGCTGACATCAAGCAAACCAGCTCCCGGATAGGGAAGACCTCCCAGTCATGGAACACAAGGGCAATACCCCAGATCCCACTCCCCCTACGCAACTCACCCACCCAACACAACAAAACCCTAAGCATTACATTCCCAGGGCGACGTTCTCCCTCCGGACCACACACATCACACGACTAGACATATTCACCGTCATACACCACACAGTGCCGTACCCTACACCGTTGCCGTACCCCATGTTCCTCACCTGTGATGCTTGGGTGAATCCAGACAGTTACAGGACATGTGGTGAAGCTGCGGTTTAGCACTGTGCATCTTTCACTTGTGAGGAGGTTGTCAAGGCCATAAAGTGGTTCCATAACAGTAAGGCATGCATCCTAACAAAACTCAGGCGGAATGTTCAGAGTGCGCGATTCGCTTGGTGCAGGTGCAGGAGATGAGTTGGTTTCTCATCATCCCATATATGGATGCTTTTCAAGCACCTCCGTTCCGAAAGGGGACGTTTTCCCAGTCAGTCCAATTTGAGGATCCTCGAGACTTCATTTCTGACACCTCAACCGGGGTTGAAAATGGGGTGCTCACGCCACCTTGAATTGATATCCCTTCCCGGCATAATAGGAGCTTAATTCGGTTTCGTTTGTGCTGTTGGTTGATTGAGGTCAACGTCTCATTGGTAGGTTGAGGGCGGATCGGGTTTCAAGATGAGTTTCATGTCTTCATGGAGGGCACTCCATGAGAGTGCCCTGGTTACGACGACATTTCGACAGGTCCTACACCGAACGACACGCCGGCTATCTTGACGTTGGGTGACCAGTGTTTGCTTGCCAAGGCGCTTCACGCGATGCGTCAATAGAGAAGTGTGCACAACAGTGCATTTACCTAGCTATGTATTCAGTCAATAGACTTAATTCATAGACGATACTACATTCACAGATGCACATACACACTTCTGTTTCCGAAAATTTGCGGTGTACAGGGCTTGTACGTGCCTCTTTGTGACGGTGACGGACATGCAGTGCTCGAAAACATCCAAATGTGATGCCCGAGGTCTCAGCCGTTCGTCTCGCCCGAGGCCTCGGCCCGAGGTCTCGGCCGTTCGTCTCGCCCGAGGTCTCGGCCCGAGGTCTCGGCCGTTCGTCTGCCCGAGGTCTCGGCCCGAGGTCTCGGCCGTCCTTTCCATGGAGCCTTATGCTGCAACTCAATAATACTTCTCTTTACCAAATATTATGCATAGCATATGTTTTATGTCATGTATGTGTCCTTATTCCTATCGTGTACTTAAATGCAAATGGATACGGCTTTCGCTTTTCCGCTTTTCCGGCCCAGCAGACATTTGGCCTTATAGCATCGTTATACTCTTGTACTCTGTGCTCTGATTACATACCGGAGGTGTTGCATTGTGAAGCTAATGGAGCAGCTTGACAGGGATATCAAGAAGGTCCAGTCACAGATAGATGCCACGGTGGATGAACAAAATACATGACCAAACAAAAAGGATTTGGACTACTTACACGACAAGGAGTTTAACTTCGCGAGGAGAAGCTCTTGCTTCAAGATGCTGTGTGCCGTGAATAAAGTGAGTCATGCTTGCACAAATTAAGTGTGTGCGTGTAATTGCCAGCCTGTCAAGCTGTTGAGCTTCCCACAGGCTCTTAAATAAAGAGATTGTTGGTGTGGCTTCCTCAGACAACCCCACAGTGTCTACTGATAGCGTATGCTGGGTTTCTGCAGATGCAGATGAAGCTGTGGTGGACTACTCTGGTGGGTTCCTGAAAACCATAATCTTGGAAGTGTATTTGTCTTTGGACATATATATATCTTGATCCAGACCATGTCTAAAGCCAAAAACCCCAAATCCTCCTCTACATTCTCCATGCCTACCTCCAGTGGAGATGCAGTAGCCTCTATAAAGACCATGCTTGTGGGCATGCATACTGGTACAGTCTTGGGATTTGCTGGATACACTGTTTCAGCATGACCAGGCAGTGATGGCAAGGACCCGAGGCCCTACTGCAGCAATAGAGTGGGAGAAGTGGGCAGCTGAGTCACTAGTCATTAGCCAAAAGGCTGCCATGGGATCAAAGCAGAAGAAGGTGCATGAGGCAAGCCTGAGTGCTGACCTTGAGCAAAAGATCGAGCAGTGCATTTTGAGTATTCCAGAGAAAGAGTGCATGGGTGTTTGTGCCCACACATACTGATATGGCTCTTTAGTAATGTGTAGTAATTCTTCTGCACAGTTAGTGAGGAGGCTTAGGTTTTCAGTTGTTGCATGTTGTTTTAAAAACATCGCATACCAAAG